CCCCTTTCCCGGCTGCTCAACCTCTTGCGTAACTATGAGAGATCACTGAGCTTTTTGATGCGCTCCAGATGTGGAGCTGGGGTGGGGGGAGCGTGGGGGCGGTAGGTCTTTGGTCCCCTGAGTGCTCTAACTGTGGGAACATAGAGCCCTGACACTGTACGAGGCAGGACACATTGCCCAGGGCCTCTGTCACGGGGTCAGCTGGTCCCTGGATGGGAGGACAGTGAGAAGCTGGGTGTTGTTTCAACCCCCGGCCTGAGTTGGTCAGCCTCGGTTCTTCTGTGGCAGGTTCCTGAGATTCCTCCCGACCGAGAAAGTCAACAAGAAAAAAAAATGTGCAAAGTCGCTGTGAGGTAGCCCAGTGTCTGAGCTGGACACGCAGGATACAGCAGGTTGCTTTTGGGCTTTACCAGAATCGCTTCAAAATCACGGCTGTGATCTACTTCATGAAGGGTGGCCAGGGTTAGCATGTTCGTTCGTATGAGCGAAGGGGTATGAAGAAAGGTAGACTCACAGCCTGGTGTCTCCTCCTTAAACCCTGGGGTCCTTGTGTAGCGGAGCCTGATTGTCCCTTACCTAAAGCAGGTAGCAGCAAGGCCCCCTGTCTGACAACTCCCCGGGGCAGAGTCAGCCTGGGCCTCCAGCAGAGGGGCGCCTTGCTATAGACTTGTCCTGTCAATGAGTGACCAGAGCAAGCAGCAATTCAGCAGCCTGCTTTCCTGGGTCAGGGAGGGAGGGTGGAAAGGAAAACCACTGAAGAAGAACAGGGTCTGCCCATCCCAAAGAGGACACATTATTTTCTGCTGGCCAGTGCAGCTGGAATATCTGCTCTGCTCCCTCGCTCAGTCGCCGTCAGGCCGTCCTGCTCCTTCACTGAGGGATCCCTCTAGCACGGATCCAAAAGGTCCTTTCTGAGTTCAGCTCCCCAGGGACGCACTCTGCAGCCAGCCTCCTGTAACAAGGGCGGGCTCCTGGAGGTAAGGATCTGCTCTCAGCATTGGGTTTCAGCGTGGGGGTTGAGAGGAAGAATGACTTTGACCGGGCTGTTTTAGACTGTGCTTGGTTTTTTTAGCCTTCCTTATTAACCCCTACTGCTAGACACACAAATGAATGCAGAATGGTGTATTTTGCAGTCTCCAGCTATAGGTAGGAGCACTAGTGGTGTGTGGGTTAAAGCTGGGCTGCTAACCACAAGGTGGATGGTTCAAACACACCAGCAGCTCTGCAGAAAAATGAGGCTTTCTGCCCTGCTGGAGATTTACAGACTTAAGCCCACAGGGGAAGTTGTCCTCTGTCCTATAGGATCACTATGAGCCCGGATCAACTGGATGAGTGAGTGAGTAATGGACCACCCACCTCCCAATCTGTAACGGACACATTGATCTGTGGTAGGGGTGAAGCTACAAGGGGTGAAATCAGCAGCCCATTCCCTTTTTCTGTGCTTTCTGGTCTGGTGGGGCACTTTGACGGGGTTTCTACTTAAACCTAGGAAGATCTACTGAGCTATACAGGGTTGTCAACCCCATTCACAGCTCTTCACTGGGGGCTTGGAATAGGATGAGAAAGGATGGCCGTGGAGGCCTGGGGTCACTCAGTTCTGGGGGACGCGTTGCCGAATAGCATTTTGTAGAGGCCGAGAATAGGGCGTTCTCTGGGATCTGATGATGGTCGCGGCATCTAAGGCTTAAAAAAAAGGAGATTGTCCGGAAAAATCCTATCACTTCTGCCGAGCTAAGCTCTAGGCCTGGGAGTGGAGGGTGGTCTAGGGGAGTCCAGAGGGAAAGGCGGAGGTGGCTGGCGATGGGGGTGCAGAACCCAGCTGCAGAGATGAACAAAGCGGGCCCTGTGCTGTGCAGGCCGAAGGAGGTGCTGCTGTGGGAAAGAGTGGGTGGGGGGGGGCCCTTGAGCTCCAGCCCCACAAGGGCGGCTTCTCTGCTGGCCTGGCGGACTGATGGGGCGGGGACGGGGACTCGGGGGGCGGGCCGGGCTAGCTCTCCGCCTCCTCCACGGCTCGCCAGGAAACGCAACAGTGTCCTGAGCCGGAGGCCACGGCGGCCGAGGTGGATGAAGGCACCCGGCCCTCCATTCTAGCGCCCCACAGGTAAAAGCGCCCCCTCCCACTACAGCGACCAGTCCGGGTCCCCGCACGGGCGGCTGGGACAGGGGGGTGGAGGGAGCCCCTTGGTCAGCTCGGGACTGGGCAGCCTGGGGCTAGAAAGGGAGCCCCAGGTGAGTGCGTGGGTGGAGGGGGCTTCGGGGAGACCACTCCATAGCTTTCCCGCGAGCAGCTCGCCTTTGCGCTCCCGGACGTGGCCTGCACAGCCGCCAGATGGGGCCCTCGAGCTCTGGGGGGGTGGGGGTGGGGTGGGAGGGTGGGGATGGGGGCCGTGGAGGTGGGGGACTCTGAGCCTTACCCCACCAAGACAGAGGCCAAGTGGACCCTCGTGGGGTCTCAGGTGGCATGTATGTGCGCGGGCCCTCGTCCTCAAGCCCTTGCAAACTCCCTCTCCTGCCCATGGCCTGCCTGAAAGTCTGAATGGGGAGCGGAATTGGCTGGGGGGGGGGGTGTCTCCCATTCTGTCCCTTAGGGTGTCTCGGACGTGAGGGGCATCTGGGACCTCTCAGGACCTAGTCCAGACCTCATGGCCCAAGGAGCCCCCCCAGGCCGGATGGGGGAGAGGGTATGAGTTCAAGCTTAAACGTCCGCGCTGTCACAACTCGGATTCCTCGTGGAGTTTCGGGAGCGGGGGGCTCCGGGGATGGGGGCCTGCGGGCAGGTGGGCGGGCGGGCCGTGGGCTCTGGGCGGGTGTTCACCGCTGCACCGCTGGGGACTGGGGCGCGGGCGGGGCTGCATTCTGGGCCCGTTAGCTCAGCTGCCCCAGACTCCCCAAGGCTGACTCATCGGACTCCCCCGCGCGCGCGCACACGCACACACACACAGGGCGCACATCACACACACACACTCCACACACACACACAGCCAGGGCACACACCACACACACACACTCCGCACACACGCAGCCAGGGCGCACACCGCACGCACACCACACACACTCCACACACACCCACCACACATACACAGCCAGCACACACACGCCACACACACACTCCCACCACACACTCCACACACACACCACATACTTCACACATACACAACCAGCACACACACTCCACACACACACCACACACTTCACACATACACAGCCAGCACGCACAGTCCACACACACACCACACACAGTCAGCACACACACACTAGACACACAACACACGCTCACTGCAGACCCGCGACACACCTCCGCGGGCACACAGCGGCGCCCCTCCCCAGCCCCCCGCCCTGCCCTTCCGGGAGCGGGCGGCCCCGCGGGCCGAGAACAAGCGGCCCTTCTCCCCTCGAGCATGAAAGGCCGCTTGTCCCGCCAGCGGGTGGGGGGCGGGGGTGTCCCGCGGCGGCAGCCGACCCAACACGGGGGCGGAGGGGGGGGCTTACCGGGGACCCTCCTTCCGTCCCCAGCGCCCCGGCTCAGGTGCACCCACCTACCCAGCGGGGTCCGCCCGGACCCAGCCCCCGCCCACCCGGGCCTCCCGCTCTTCCCTGCGTCCGCCCTGCAGTTCGCGGGTCTCCGGCCTCTGTGTCCCCTCGACGGCCCTGCGCGCTCCCACCTGCTCCCGGTCAGCCCCATTGTCTGCCAGCCCCCACCCCTGAGCGCCCCCTGCCCTGTCCCATCCAATCTCGCTCTCCATCCTCCGGGCCCCCGGGCCCTCTCCGCGCCCCTCCCCTCCCCGCTTCCCGTCCACCTTCGACGTCAGGGTCCCCTCCACACCCCGGCGTCCCCCTGCCCGACCCTGACCTCGCGGACTCTCCTGTACCTTCTCCGGCCCCATGCCCCCGCGCCCCCTCGCCAGCGGCCGCCGCACTCCTTCCGCCTTCTTGGGCTTCCGGCCCGCGGGCTTCCCGGCCTCAGTTTCCTCCTCCGTTTCCTGCCCTTCCCGGTCCGGCGCCTTCTTCGCGAACGGATGTACTGGGGAGGCCAAGGTGGCCGCCATGCCGCGCCCAGCTCCGGGCGGACGCTGGTCTTCTGGGACTCAAGTGAGGGCTGGGGCGACCCCGCGGGGGCTTGAGGGGGTCCCCAGGCAGGGGGACCGAGGCCGCGGCGGGCGGTGGGGCGGGGAGGCCTGGAGCGTCCATCTAGGGTCTGCTTCGGACCTCTGGACCTCCTGTGACTGCAGAACTTTGCGGCGCTGTCCAGCCTCTTTGTACCGATTCCGGTGCGCCTGGGTGCCAGGGGCGGAGAGCTGGGGGCGGGCGTGGGGGCTTCGGGGCCATCGCTGCGTTCCAGCTGGGCGAGGACTAGAGGGGCCAGGCAGTCAGCCCCCTTCCAGAACCCAACCTCATCTTCCTGGGGGTCCTCTTTGTCCCAGGGCAAATCAGGATGCCTAGGCCGGTGCCACCCTGCAGAGAGGGGCCTGGGCATCTGCATGGGGCCGTGTGTGTGTGTGTGTGTGTGTGTGTGTGCGCGCGCGCGCGTGCGTGTGTGTGTGATTTCTCAGGGGTCCCGGGGCCACGAGCGGTGTGTGTGGATGTGTGTGTGGGACGCTTCCTCCCACTGGAGCCAGACTGGCCGCACAGGGCCTTTTTGGGGGGCGAGGCGGAGTTCCCACCCACCCACCCACCACCGACAAACCGCGGAGTCCGGGGCAGGGCAAACAGGGTGGGTAATTGCAGCCCCTGGTCTTAAGGAACAGCCCTGCCTGCAGGAAGCAGGCTCCAGATCAGAGAGGGCCAGGTTGGGGCCCTTGGAGAGGGCGCCCCAGGTGGCACTTTGTCAGCGCCCGGCCTGAGTGCTGGATGGGCCCTGCGGGTATCTTTTTCCATTTCTCATGGATTAGATTTCTGAGCTGGAGTCACAGATCGCACCTTTCAGTGGCTACATCCTCTCTTATCTTCTTGGTCTCTCTCCACACCTTATCTCTCCCTGCTCTCCTCTCCTCTGATCACTCTTGTTTCCCCTCAGTCTCCTGCCTTTACAATCTATACCTGGACTTGAAGTTCTCCCCTGGAAATAGTAGAGCGCTCCACAACTGCCTCAGAGGGTGACAGTCACAGCCCCCAGTGTGTCACCTGAAGGGTGGAATCCTCAGACAGATGGCGGAATGACTAGCTCTAGCTGGGCCTCCAGGTTCATCGTAATCACTGGCATGTTTCTGGTGCTTTGCATTTCTTTATTTTTTTAGTGTATTTGTTTATTTTTGGGTGTCACCACATCCATCCATTTTAGGTGTGCGATTCAGTGGTTTGTAGGATACTTACAGAATTGGGTCAACCATCAAATCTTCAGAACATTTATGAAACTCAGTCTGTGCCTACCAACTCCTCGCCCCTCCCCTGACGAAGTGGCCTTCCAGTTAGCCGCTGGTTTTTCCGGATTTGGTGGTGGCATCGGAGAAGTCCAGTTTACGTAGTGGTTGCTAACCACCAGGTTGGCGGTTTGAAACCACCGGCCAAGGCTTTCTACTCCCGCAAAGAGTTACAGTCTTGGAAACCCACAGTGGCAGCTCTAGCCTGGGTCACAGGGTCCCCATGAGTGAGGACTGACGGCGGTGAGTTTGGATTTGGGGAGCTGCTGTTGTGAGATGTCGTGGGGTCAGTTCTGAGTTAGTGACCCTTGCTTGCTTGTTGGGGTTAGGTGTCCTCGGGCCGGTGCTGGGTCCCCGCAACCTTGTGTACAACCGAAGGAAACACGGTGGCCCTGTGATACCTCCTTCTCATCTCGGCTCTTCCTCTTTTTCCCGGCCCCGCTATTTTACTAAGCATGATGTCCTTCTCCAGGGACTGGCCCCTTGTGACGGCCAACGCTCACTCACTGTGAGTTGACACCACTGCAGAGCCACCTTGTAGGACAGGGTGGGACTGACTCTGGGTTTCTGAGACGGACACTCTTGAAAGAAGTAGAAAGCCCAGTTATGGCCCGAGGAGCAGCTGGTGGTTTCAAACTGCTGACCTTGCAGTTAGCCGCCCAGCGCATACCCAATTACTAAGCAGGACTCCGATGACATGTCCAAAGTGTGTGCACAATGGCAGGCTGTGCTTCCTCGGCCCTTCTGGGTGGACTCCAACCTTTCAGTTATCCGCTGGGCTTATCAACCATTTACACTACCCAGCCCTGGGCAACCACAAATCCTGACAGGGTTTTCAGATCTAACTCCATTTTTGTAGAAAAATAACCTGAAAAAGAAAGAAAGAAAAATAACCTGATACTCAGAGACATTATGTAACTTGTCCAAGATCTCACAGCTTATAGTAAAGTCCACATTAGAATTCAAGGTTCTTACAAGCCAGCCTAAAGCTCTTTCTACTCAACAGTGATGCTCTGCGGGCCTTCCGGCTTATGTCTGCTTTGTTCGCTTACCCTCTGGACACACACTCCCTACCCCTCACACACTCTCTCTTGCCGGTTCTCCCTCTGAAGACACTGGGGAGGTTTCCCTGAGTGAGGGGACGGAAGCTACCGGACAGCAGTCTCTGTCCCAAGGCAAACTCTCCTGTGGGGAAGGCTGGCAAGCTCAGCGGGGCTTTCCTTCTTCCCAGGGGAGTCTTGGGGCTCCACCCTCCCCGCCCCAGCAGCCCTGTTTCAGCCCCTCTTTCTCCAGCTTGGTGGAAATGGTGACGGAGGTGACATAGTGCTGGCCCGGAAGGGTGGAAGCTGGGAGGGTAAAATTAATGACTCATGGCTGAGCCCCTTGCGTCCAACTGCCAGGGCCAGACACTTCTTAGAATGCTGGTGTGTGTCCCTCCTTCTCTGCAGACCCCCCTGGTAGGAAGGAAGGGGGAAGGAAACCCTGCTTTCCCGGGTCCCCTCCCCACTTCAGTCACATTCTTCTCACTCTCCCCAGCAACATGTCGGCAACAAGTGGGACATTGGGAATCTTTGCAAGTTGTCTAAGGAACGGCACGTAGGTAGATCTTAAGCCCTGATGGCGCAGTGGTCACACATTGGGCTGCTAACTGCAAGCTAGCAGTTTGAAACCACCAGCTGCTCCCTGGAGAAAGATGAACTCTCTACTCCTGAAATGAATTTCCAGTCTCAGGGTGGCGAGAAGTCAGAATGGACTCGATGGTGGGGGTTAGTACTCAGAGGCCTTCACCGAAGCTTCTCAAATACCAAAACCGTGGGCCGGGAGGAGGGGTTGGACCAGGGAGTTCACAGTCTGGCTCTGGAATCTGTCTTACCTCTGGTGTTAAGGGCCTAAGCTTCCTGCAGCCTTCAGCCATGGTAAGAACCCGAGAGTCCTATATTCCCAGTCATTGTCACCAATGAATTCGTTTGTTTTGATTCTAAATTTTATCTGTTTTGATTTTGTTGTTGAGAAACTACACAGCAAAACATACACCAATTCCACAGTTGCTACATTTAGAACTTGAAGGGGCTGGGGGGCGGGGGGCAGTGTGTTTCTGAGACCCACAAGGGCCCTCCTGCCTTGTCCTGTACGACAGCGGTGCTCCACCTGCTTCACGCTGCGACCCTGTCATACTGTGCCTCAGGTGGTGCTGACCCCCTTGTTGTTGCTACTTCGTAACTGTAATTTGCTACTCTTATGAATCATAATGTAAATATCTGATATGCAGGAGGTATTTTCCTTGTTACAAATTGAACATAATGAAAGCATAGTGATTCAGCACAAAAGCAGTATGTAATTATATATGGTGAATATTTATTTCTAATGACAAATAAATGAAATTTTGTCTTGAAGCATGGTGTAGCATGGGTAACAGTCTTCACGCCGGGTACTCATATGTGGGCATAGCTGCATGTGGGCCGACCCGCCTGGAGACGGATAGAGGAGCGGTGTCTCGGTTCCTAAGACCATTGGAAATAAGTGTTTTCTGATGGTCTTAGGTGACCCACAGGTTGAGGGTCGCGACCCACAGGTTGAGAACCGCAGCTCTGCAGGGTCACGATGAGTCCGTGTGGACTCTGTGGCAGTGCATGTGCTTGTTTGCTC